GTCCCACTGCATTTTCCATGTTGCCGTTGACATAGTTTGCACAGCGCCGCCAAACAGCAGTTTCTGATGTTGTGCCATAAAGTGCCTGCCAAACACAAACACCAGATAAAACAGTGACATCTGGGCCTGCATAGGACAGAGAACAGTGACTGACTGGTGGATGTGCGTTTCAGAGGAGCCTAAATCAATGTATTTAATTCATGTTTGTATTTACCACAGTTAAGTGGACTCACTCTGTAAAAGGAACATCCTTCACAGTCTGAGGAAATATAAAAGTCATTAGCAATATTCTTTATCCTTTCAATGTATAAAAGGTAGAGAGAAGACACTACTCTAAAAGCCAAGAATAGGAGAGGTCCAACTACAACACTATAGGGAACACAGTCTTTCCTCTTTAAATAAATCTTGGAAGAAAAGAAAGATACTGATGTGATACTTGGGCAGGAGTAATAGTATCCTGAGGATAAGTATTAAACTAGTGCCATGGTACTGCTCTGCATGCTTTCCATGGAGCTTACGGAGGGTAGGTCTGCTAGAAGGGCCCAATTCTGAACAAATGTTAAAGGACAGACTGATAATTTGGCCTTGGGATGGAGAACAAAGCAAGTCATTTAGAGTGACAGCATAGCCCCTCAGTAACACAGGTAGGCCCTTCTAAATGTGCAGTCTAGTAATCTCTTGAGATCTTTTTGCTGATTTTTTAAGGAAGTGGCTGCAGATCCATTGATTGTTCTGCTAGGACACTGGCACTTTCTGTAGGACATTTTAAGTGCTCTGTATTTAAAACAAATGGAATTTTGAATTAGTAAGTGACCAATTAGCCACACAATGCAGAGAAAAATAGTATGGGAGATTTAGGGAATGACAGAACAGTCCTAACATTTATATCTGAAAGCAAACTTAACAAGACAAATGCTAGTTTATTTTCACTATGTTTAGCTGTGAAGTTAAACATAGTGAATACGTTTAACAGCTATATTATATCATGTATTATTAATTCATTAGTAGAAAAGTTTACATTTTTGTATATAGACAACGGCAAAGCCCCTTTCTATTGTTTCAAACTTAGACATTTTTCTAAATAAAGCTTCCTCAGTGAAGTGCTAAGATGTAGTGCTGGATGTTTATAGAGTTCAAAAAGTAGTATTCCTTGATGATGCAGACTAAGCAACTACGAAGCTTCATATTATAATGATTTTAAAGAGCAGTAACAAAAGAAATAAATGATGAATAGACTACTGTGTTCAGATATATAAAACTGAACAAACTAAATGTCCATTGACTGCCTCCAGTAATTATTCCTTTTTTTCCCCCTTTTTTTTGGTAACAAGCAGAATCTCCTTAAAATGCTGCATATGTGTGTGAAAGTGTTTCCTTTCTCACTAACAGATAAAACAAAATGGCCTTAATCTTTCTTAATGGAGCTCAGCAAACTTTCAAAGCAGAAAGTTCAACTGGGGAAACAGAGAAGATTTCTATTTCCAATCTGTGGGATTGCTCAGCGTTTCCTTAAAAGCACTAAAATATCTGCAAGATCAAATGACTGAAAACAAGACTGGGCTCACATTGTTTGGCTGAATCTATTACATTAAATGCTGAAGAGTTTCTAACAAGTCGATGAAAACTGTAGAGCAATTGTTTGCAAATGAATATGACTGTTACCAAAATGACCATATCATAAAGGGATTAATTTAGATTTGGAAATAACAGAGACCAAGTACCAGAACAGTGCTTTTCAGACCCACTTCAGCTATTGAGCATATGTCATATAAATGATGCATACACTCCAGCAGGAGCTTCAGCAAACAAATTTGGCTTTTGTGCACAAAATTCAAAATACATTAATTTTTTATACAGGAAGGACATAAAAAGAGAGATGAATTTCTGCACCTTACGGAAAGCATTCCTTGTGTCTTTGTAGTTACGGCTTAGGCTGTTTACCAGATCCATTACAAATCGCCAGGCCATGTAATTTTGAAGTTCTCTGTGTAATAAAACAATAATAATAAGCTGGTAATGTTTTTAGGCTTCTGAGATTTACTGTAAATAAAATGCAGATTACAAAAATACCTAACATACCTACCTTGGAGTATACTTATTAAGAATAGACTTCAGCTTGGTAAGGTATTCTGGATCATAAACAACCACATCTTCTGTATTCTCAACTTTAATTTGTACAGTTGACATTATATTATTTATGAATTTTGACCAGTTGAATACCTGGAAAAGGAATATGCATTATTATATGGTTAAATCCTGAAAAAAGAATATTTAGCTATTTTAAAAAATATGTTTGTACAACACAAATGCTCTGAGTTTAGTTCTCCTAATAGCTTCACCACTTGTAAATGGTGTATAATAGTAACTGATCTGAGATAATTTATATCCACTGTGCTCTAAAATCCCATTAATATATGGTGGTATTTAGCAGAAAGAGTCCAGATACAGTTTTGTTTTCAGTCTTACACAATTAAAAATGTTATGGCACTTTCCATTTAGCCTGGAAAAGCAGATTTTTTTTAAAGTAAAATTTCAATTGCCTTCTTGCTATATTTGGCTATGAACTCCTAAATCAAACCATGACTAAAATCTTTATTTTTCAATATGGTACGGGCACTAAGAAATTCATGGTATACATGACAATACATTCTCAAGCATATGGTAAGGGCTTTCTCTGAAGTACACTGAAGTCCATAAAATGATTTATTTTAATAGGCTTTAAAACAGACCCATTAAACACCCAGTCTGTAACAAATTTTCCTCTGTATGCTGTAGTACAAGATACTGAAAAATGAAATGGATTTGATAGCAGATCTGTTAGCATCTGATAGCAGCGTGCTGTGGCAGACAAATCTACTTGTCTTCATTTGCATGGTACTGCTTGAGACAGATCCCTCAGGCTGCGGTCCTTTGGGCAGTATGGTGTTATATGGTTCTTTATGGTTTCCCTATTTGATATGGTTATATGGCGTTATGGTTCTTTTGACAGGAAAGCTTTACTGGAAGAGATAACGTCTTTTATCAGACAAACTCTGTAGCTGAGGAAAGTAGATAAGCTTTCAGGAATAGATCTCTTCAGGTTTGAAAGAGAAGCAGCAAACTTCCAGCTAATTTTAGGAATAATTGCTGTACTATCCTTAGACCATTACAACAACACGACCAACTCCCATCATGTGTCTTTTGTGCATTTTTGGATAAATTTAGAGCAGATGATTATTGCTGATCTGCAGTGCTCCCCGGGAACTAAAAATAACCAGGGCAATACCATTCTGTGAGCAAGAGAAGTTAGTTTCTGACATTATGATTGCATTCTGACAGTAATGGTAACTGTTCAAAGGAAGATCTGTGGGAAAAGGTAAATTATGAAACAGATTAAGCTAGGCAGAATGGAACTGCCATATAATTTAAAGTTGAAGAATCTAAAGTCAATAAAAATAGCAGAGACTATGAAACTGTGTTAGTAATAACAGTGTTTCCTAGCACCTCGCTGGCCTCAGAAGACTCAGTAACACGCTGCTGCCAGTCAGACCACAGCGCTTTCCATCAGTGAGCCTCCTTGTCTGCATGCAGGGCTCTGAAGTGGAAGTCGCTTATCACAAACACGTTCGTGTCTGGTAAGACATGATGCTATCGGGAAGGCTCACCCGTGTATCAAATCTTTCGATACTCTTTAGCTGGACTTTGTGGTTACTTGAATTAAAGGCTGTACTGTGGGAACGGCGCATAGCTAAGGACAGGAGAAAATTCAGAGCTGAAACGTCTTGGGGGAGCTACAGTGGGAGGAATGGGGAGAATTTTCCTGGTATGTAGTCATGCCATCCTGGGCTTCTTTCTGCATGGTTTGGGAGCCCATCTGACAGAGGAAATGGTGGAAAACCAGGACTTTTTGTTCTGAATGTGTAGCTCTGGATAAACAGTGAGGGTCTGAACAGTCACACACAATAGTGCAACATATTTGAATGGACTGGTGCCTGCATTTTTTCCCATCTCATAGTGATGTGGAGGGGCAAGGCCTGCCTTCAAATTTGCAGGAACAGCGGGTACAGAAGCAAAAACTTTTACATATATTTTAATGTCAGCAGACTTTTAGGTAATACACTGTGCAATTCAAATATCTTGTTTAATTTCAGATGTGTCTAAGCTCAAGAAAGAAATGCATTTAAAGAAAAATTTGTCAGGCATTATCATTTAATCTCATCAGCCATAAATTAGAGGTTAAAAAAACAGATTATTTATCACTCACCGTATGATTGATTTCCAATGAAAAGTTGTTTTGGAGTTGTGCCAGTGTCATTTTATTATACAGCAGAAGTGGATCGTTTCTGTCTTCAGATTTTGTTGTTGCCTATCAAAGTTAATCATGAGATTAATCGTTACTACATAAATTGAGTCAGTTCACAGGAATTTTGCTAAGTAGAAGTAAAAAGAAAAAAAATCTGGCTTAACACATTACTGTGCGAAGTTTGCATAGCTGTGAAGCATCTCGTGTAGATACGCAGGAGCTAAACCTTGGGAGAAGGGAGTCAAGGAAAGGTATTTGTAGAGTATAAGGTGGCCTGTGGTAGGAACACAGCGTGTGCGTTCTGATCAGCATGTACGTGCTGGCTAACATATTCCTTCTGGAGCCACTGTAGGATGGGAGGCATAACTCACTCAAGCTTCACATTAGTCTAGGCAATCTGGTTTTGTACCGGTGTGGTGTTAAGAATGTGCATACATTAATACCGTAATGGAAAGACTGCATTAGGCCGTTTGTTACAGACAATAAAACTGCCTCGCTGCCAGAGAACTGTGTCTGCAGCGGTGCTTTATGAGGAGACTTTATCCCTGGAGTCTCTAGACAGGAAATGTCAGCATTGAGGTCTCTGGGATTAGGGTACAGACAATGTAAATTAGGGAGAGGAAAAAAAACCCACAGGACTCAGTAGTATTGTCTCCAAACTACTCCCTTGGTCTCTGATTTCTGTCTTGAACATGTTTCTGTTGTTTTCCTCAAACAGCACTGTGTTCCTTGCCTGGATGCTTCTAATGTGCATTCCTGCATCCCTTTTAGTGTGGACGTAACTTGTGACAGCATCAGCACTCAGCCTCCCCGTACTCAAGCCCCTTTTCACTTTGACTTTTTTTTGATGGCAAGGAGAGAACATGCAGGTACACAAGTGACTGTGGGGAAAGAGTGATCTTGTGATCCATGAAAATAATTAATGGGAGAATCCGTATCACTACTGCCTGGAGTACTCCACTTGACTCAGTCAGGGGCAGGAACAGTAGCTTCAACTTATTTCAAGTCTTTTTCAAAAGTAAGTCATGCCAATTCTGATTTTATCTCTATCCTTAAAAAAAAAATAAAAAATTATCTTTGTTTTCCTCTCTACTACTCTACACCATAATGTATTGTGCAGTCAGTATTTTATTCTGTTTTCTTCACCAGTTCCCAAGAGCACAATGCCTTCTCTACTCTAGTAACATTCTGGATGGTGCCACATTTCTAGCTTTGATGAAAAGGTTCAAAAATGAGGCAGTAGCAACTTACCCACAGCCACCTGTACTCTTTACCAGCAGCAACTGCTGTAGAGAAATTTCAGTTGTGGCTTCCTTTCTTACTGCATTTCAAATCTTTCTCCAATTAATTCCTTTTCATTTAATAATTTTCTCTCTCCAATCTAAGCCCAGAAGTGTGTTTCTCAGGAAAATGTGAAATAAATCCAAATCATATAGCTTTAGTTTATATAAATGGGGTGGAAAGGTTTACCTCTGCCAAACACATGCCCTCACTTAAGTGCAACTAAAAAAAATTGCTGAAGCTATTGGCTTGTTTTACAGTAACCTTCAGCTTCAGGATCTTCTGAAATGTTTAATAATCACAGGCCATGTTTTTGCTCATGGATGCTTTAATTTGCTTTTCTCCATGCAAATTCAAATTCTAGCTATTTCTCCAAGGCATATTTTCTGGAGAACAGTGCTTGATTAAAAATGCACTTGAACCAATTGGTTTTGTGGAGAAGCTTGTGTAGGACAAACATTACTTTGTGTTGTGTGGCAGGCTAAAGGTTGGGAATCTACTGCTCTGATAATCAAAGAGCCCATGTGAAGAAAAGGACAAACAAAAACGAGGCCCCAAAAGCATCTCCCAAAACACACTTTCTAAAACTGAACAGAAACCAAGCCTGTCTCTTGCTTTCACCTTCTTCTCTTGAAGGGCTTCCTTGAATAGAGTAGGATAAAATATTTTGCTATTTCGAAAACAGCTAACCCAAATATTTCCCCTTGCTCATTAGAAGGCACATCTTATGTGTTCCTTTTAGGTGTTCCAGGCCCCATATATTTTTGGTCAATATTTGGTCCCACAAAGTAGCAGGAGCAAGTAACTTAATAACTTGATTTACAGTTAGCTTGCTTAGGTATTAAGAAAGCTATTTAAAGAATACTTTAAAAATGTTTTTTCTTACATTAGCAATCTCCTTCTCCAGGTCCATAACTTTTTTCATTTCTTCAGAAATCTGGGTCTCATTGAAAGAAATATTTCTTTCTTGTAGGATTAGTTTAGCTACAGAAATCATGAAATCAACATAGGCAGAACATGCCTGCAGGAAAAAGATACAAATAATTTAAACTCCTCAAAGTATAGCACAAAACTCTTCAAAGTATAGCACATTTTGAGTATCTTAAAGATTTCATCTTCTTTTTTATGAACTATGGTTCTTCATCCCTTTTTTAGGTAACTTTACAGTAACTTACTCCGATATTCTGTTAGATCACAAATAGAAATTTGAAAAGCCCCTCATGGAAAATTGCTGTATGATTCGTAGCACTGCTCAAACCTAAACATTGTCAACTACTGCACTGTGTTTTCATTATTTAAAATGAGACATTTGTAGGTCCATATTTAAACTACCACCTGTGTTTTTTCTAGCTCACTTTAATTACAACTTCCAAAAATACTGCTTCCAAAGAGCAGTGTTCCCAGAAACGTAAAACCAAGGGAAATGTTGATGGACTGTGTAGGATCAGCATTGTGGGAAAATTACTCCCAGAAGCAGTGTACCTCCTCCCTGCTGCAGCCTGGAGCATTCAGCATATAGATTTTTGCTATATCTAAATTTGGTATAGGTAAATACACTATGGATATATACTATTGAATATATTAAATTTAATATGTCTGAATTTACCAAGGATAGGAATGGATATATACAAGTATATTCTATTAAATGTTACATTGTCAAATATCTATAAAGGTCTCACTATATTTTATGGAACTTAATTTTATTGTGATACCTCTTTGATAAGTCACACTCTTTTCTGTAAGCAGAAATGCTGGTTTCAATATACTTTTAAAATGCAAATAAAAATACATATTAAATTAGTTAATAATAAATATATGTTATGCAAAATATCTTAATCTACTAAAACAGTGATAAAAATATGATTAATAAGGCGCATAGCATCAACTTTATTAACAGAAGCATTTTGGTATGTTCAGCTCCTAAGGCAGTAGGATGCACCCTTTTTAATGAACGCTGCATTTATGCAGCCATTCTGATAACTGCCTTCCTTGCCACCCATCTCCTGTCAGCCTCCCCTGCCTGCCAACAGCGCTGTGCTATAACAGGCTGCGTGTGCTGGCAAACTCTGAGCAGCTCATGAAAAGTATTGACAACAGACTTCAAAAGAAAGGTGGCTCACAGCATCCTGGAGGACTGAACTCTCAGTGTTATTTTTAATTAAGACAGATTATTTTGTCAGAGAGAAAGCCCATCAAACCACTGACAGCCACATTAAGTCACAAAAGAGAGTGCATACCAAGCCTTAAAATACCATTTCAAAATACCCAAATCTGTGTAAAATTTATGCAAACATTACCCCAAACCAGCAAGTAAACAGGAATTTTCAGGTACCAATCAATGCACATTATTTTTGGTCTAAGGATCATTGCATGGTCATGTAGCCATCAAAGAACTGTCAGCTAATTTCAGACAGACTGTGTAAATATACTCAGATATTTAGTGGGAACTTAGATGTCAGAGTAATGCCTGTATGAGCACAGGATCCATGCATCTTACAGGAAAAAAAAATAAATCTGTTCCCAAATTCCACTTGCCACTTTGTGGTGTGAAGTCCTGACAAAGGCTGAGGTTAAAGTGCAGGAGGCAGGTACCTTGTTTAATGTGCACAGCTCAAAGAGTACAATGAGACAGCAGGAAACGGAGCCAAGCAGAGGTTATCAGCGTGCAAGGACTGAAGGGAGGAACAGCTCTCAATTGAGGTACTCCAGCTTCAGGTTGGCAGGGACCTCAAAACATTATCAGGTCCAACCTTTCATGGGAAAAGGGAGCCTGGATGAGGTTATCTAGCAGCCTATTTGCATATAAAACCTCCAGTGATGGGGGTCCCTGTTCCAGTCACTGACAGGTCTCCATGTATCTGCTTGTTTCATGATTAGTTCCTTCCAAGAGGTCCTAAAAAGTCAAGGAGCTGCTCCTCTTCTGACCTGCATAATCATATATGAATTGTGTGGAAAACTACTATTTTTCTTCCATGTGAATGTCCAGTGATTAAAAAAGGAGACAAAGAGAGTGTGAGATAAAGGAAACGAGACAGGTTGGGGTTTTGGGGGCATAGTGATGCTAGAGGAACATGCAGTTGTCTCATCCAGTGCAGAGACAATTGGGTAGTACCGGCAGCTGGAGCCGAGATAAAAACTCTTGGCTTCAGTGCAGCCAGAAAGGTCACACGAGGACACCAGCATTAATGGCACAGTATTATAATACCAAAACTTCAGGACAGTTGTGATACTCCCTCCCATTCTTAGCCAACTTATTTCTATTTGTCCTTAATCTCATTCCTCTATACCCTGTTAATTTCCTTTCCTTTTAGCTCCTGGTCTCTTGTCTTCTGACACACTTACCCATGTTAGAGTTTCTCTCTCCAGTCTGTCACACATTCTCTTCCCACCTGTAGATCAGCCTTGTTTAAATTCTCATCGTTATTACCTTTCTATTTCGGTTTCCTAGGTGACTCTCAGGGGTAGCATTACAATCTCTTTGGGGAGAGGCTGTCCTGCTCTTTGAGGGACTCCAACCCAACTCTTGAGGGTACACCTGCCTTGAAAATAGAGGCTAAAGCTTCTAAAGCAGTCAGTGATCTGTCAGCTTCAGCTTACCTCTTTGTATGCACCAGTGCACTCATAGTAGTCACGAGAAGGCAGGCCGAGTCCAGGTTGATCAATCTGTAAAGTCAAATAAAAATTTAAAAGTGCATAAGGACAAAACGTTATAGCGTTGTACTATTCTTTGGCCAGTTATAGGTTGCTGATGCTTCACTCTTGCAAAATGAACTTCTGGCCAAAGGAGAGTTTCTCTCCCATCCTGTTGCCCTTGTTTAATTCTTTTCACTCTCCTTTTTTTTTTTTTTTTTTTTTTGTCTTCACTCTTTTTCTGTTGCTGAACAATGCATGATATGTGTAATCCGTGCTAAACGCTGGACGTACAGAAAACAAAACAGTCCCCCAACAAGCAAGAAAGTTACTCCACTTTGAAACTCTGATGTGCAGAGTAGTCAAGGATCTGTCCACCCATTTGCAAGAAAGATTACCTCGTCACTGCATCTGTAACAGCTGTGTCTCAGGAGTAGCTGGTGAAGACTCACCATACACAATCCTGTCTTCTCTGGACTTTCCATTTCCAGAGTTTCCATTTTTCATCTTACATTTACAGGCAGGACACTCTCGGCATGCTCCTTAAGCACATGTCCTCAGCCATTTTCCTATCTGTGCCAGCTGCCTGCAGGTCCTGTTACTACTTCGGCATCTGAATACCTTGTAAAAACACAACCCCCTTCTTTGTGGGCTCTCTGCCATTGGGACCATAGCCAGGCTCTCAGTGACAGAGCTTTCTGCCAGAATTACATGGAAGGAAAGTCATGCTTACTTATTTCCTTGCATGCATACATAAGTAGATCATATCTGTCTTCTGTCCAGCGTACACATAACCTGTGTGTGTATCTACACATGTCTCAGTTCTCCTCACCTTACTAACAGTGTATGAGTGCACAGAATAAAGATTATTAATCCTGGGAATGGACAATGAACGCACTGTCAGACTGATAATGGAAGTTTAAAAACTGCAGAGATTCACAAACTTACCTACAACTGACCGGTAAACTTCAAATCAATAATGTTGCTCCTGGCTAACATTTATGGCTGTGCTTTCTGGTTCTTTTGCTACACTTATATGATCAGCAAGGCTGTGCCACCCAGGTAGACTTACGTGAATGATATGTGTTGTGGAATTTTTATCGTCCGTGCCAACAAAAAAATTAATAAGGACTTTTTTCCCATATCTGGAGTTCAG